TTGTATTATTTACAAAAAATTCCCTTTATACAGTTTTCAACTTATAGTACGATATTAAAATTATTCAGAAGAATTTTACCATCAGTAATATGTAATAATTACAACAAGGAGGATGTGACCATGGGGCACCTAATTTCTTCAATCAAAGAGGGGATCGACAAGATGGTCTTGCGAAGTCCAGAAGAATGTCATCCGGCGTGCAGTCATAAAGGTGCAATAACGAAGAAAAAGCTCTCGCAGTTTGGAAAGGACTGACGCCGAAGCAAAGAAGAAGAAGTAGAAGCAAGAGGAGACACCTCTTGTAAAAAAGATTGGAAAGGTGACGGCAGCACCTAATCCAAAGCACAGTAGTAAGAAGAGAGAGACGAGTGGATCTACAAAGATGATGCGAGTCGCAAGAGGAACAACGTGTATGCCGACGTACTGACACAGAAAAAACTTGGACTCATTTTTGTTGCAACTCATTTTCTTTTGGGTATCGAAATGAGTATGGGACAAACTTCATGTTATTCAAAATGATATTGGCTGGAATTTCAGATTTCTAAGTTGGCATCATAAGCAGAGTAATTTTGTATTTCAATTATTGTTTCTAATATTTCAACAACACCAGAAAGATTATTTTGACCAGTACGAATATTTAGAAGTTTTTAAATAAAAATTATTTATTATTATTTACGTAGATAATAATTAATTTCATAAGTTTTTAAATTTACCGCTATTATTTAAGTTGGCAGTACCGTTCCTGTTGTCAAAACACATGTTTTCATTTTTCTAACCTAAAAACATATTTCCTTTATTATTTTATTACGCGATTACAAGCAATTTTTAATCAAATATATTAAGTCTAGCGTGTTATTTACTTCTTTGTAATTATTATATTTCATGTTTTTGTGCAAAATTATTCGTTATTTCACAATATTTTTCCATTTTTCTTTTTCTCAAAATGAAACTTGCCTGTTTCATTTTGATACTTTTACCTTAGAACTCGAAATGAGACAACCAGTTTCATTTTTGTTGCGAATCAAATTGAGTATAGAATCTATACTCAATTTGAATTCAGGTTTTTTCTGTGGAGCAAACTTCGGAGGAAAGTGAATCAGGACATCAGATACACGCAGATCGTGAGCGCAAGGTCTACAAGAAAGGGAGATCTCCTGATCAAAATCGGAGGAGACTCGAATAAGGAGGTATTCACCGCTGAGATCATCAAAGCGGTTGAAAGCTTGGTAAAGGTGCAAACTGTGAATGGACAGGTCACACTGGAGATCTGCGACTTGGATTACCTTACCCAGAGGTTCAACAGGTGTCGGCGGAAGTGCTCCAGAAGGCAGGAAATAAGTAGGTGACGGTCGCGATCCTAGGACTCAACTAACGAGGAATGAAGCTTGCGGTTGTAATTACCAACTCAGAGGAGGCGGACAGGCTGAAGAAATTGGGACGCATAACGACTGACTTTATGCCCAATAAGAAGGAGGGTGATGGTTCGATGGCACTGCTGTCTGGCGTACGGTCACATAGGAAGAGTTTGTAAGGCAAACATCAGCCATGTCGCAGGCAGCGGAGGATGCGGAGTCTTCAGGACGGCCCTTAGGGAGTCCAAGAAGACTCGCACGAAAGAAGAATAAATAGGCCAGAAAGATCGGCAATGACAGGGGTCACGAATGCGAGATCCCAGGGATCTGCACCTACGAAGTTTAAAGCTTGACGGTATAGTTCCGTAGTGTGAGGATTAGTCCAGCCAAAGGGTGTAGTTTTTAGTACCGAGATCCAAGTATCTACTTTGAATACCCTTTGAAGGGTTATGCACACTTTCCAATTCCCTCCTAAAATAATAATAATAATAATAATAATATAAGATTATAATAAATTCATTTTAGAAAATACTTTATTCTAATCTAAATCCGTTTTAATAAAAAAATTAATTTTTTTGTGAAATCTTTTATAATTGATAAGCTTCTACTGTTCTACTGATAAAACAGTTTGAAATAGAATTTCTCATAAATAAATTATGATGTGCTGATAACAACTCTATATTTGTGTAAATATCTATAATAATATATATTGATGATAAACCTATACACGTAAATGTGCTTTCCAATGGTATTCACTTATCTGTTTCTATGTATATAATCATACACTTCACTGTCACGAACGTTGAATAGCACACCACTTTTAACATTACGACTTTTTATTTGCATTTTTTTTGCAAATGTCTGTGTCTGTTACGCTTTGTAGAGCGTTATAGCTACTTCATTCATAATTCAATTCAATTTCTTCAAGCTTTCAAGAAATCTCAGGAGACGTACTTTTTCCCCTAAAATAATTACGTAATTGGTCGCTTCCAAGATTCGATAACGATTATTAAAAATGATAAAACTGTAATATAATGTTATTATCATTATTTTATTTTTACTTCCTAATCATTTTTTTGGGGGGTAAATTTATTTTATCTATTCACCCTTTAATTTCAATTTAACAGAATTGTCATTTAACAAAAATTCTATTTAGCTGAATTTTTAAGTTTTTCCTAAAAGAAAACAACCAACCTGCTCCCTCCCTCACCAAAATTTCTACATCCCTTCCATTGTCAATCTCTCAATTCCTAAAAACTGTTGTAAAATCAGAATCTTTTTGAACATCACAGATAAAGGATCAATACTTATTTTCATATGATACACGCGATAAACTTCACTATAAACTTTTTTTTAGGAAATAACAGTAAAAAAAACATTGATACTGATAAATTATGATATCTTTCATAAATAATTAAAAATGATTTATTTGAATCAAATTATTATCTTTAAAAGTATTGTTTTCATTTTGGTCTCTTGTTTATAAAAATTTGACGTGATATTTGATTTTCAAAGAATGTTATAAGTTTTTAAAGAAAGAGAGAAAAAGTATAGTTCTATAGTTTTCTGGTGGTGATGGAAGATGTTTTTGTATAGTTTAATTTTAAAAGTGATGAGGGTAACGGTGATGCGGGTGAGGTTTGTAAATACTAGATTCATTTCATGAGCATCATTCCTGTCCGCTGGTTCCAGACTGGAGTGAACGGAGTTTTAATTAGCAATTTGTTTTCTCATATATAGACGCTCGAGAAGTCGCACAAGATGAGTGACAAAATGACAAAATAAATTTAATTTTTTTTCAATTTCTCATTTCAAAAAAATTAAAGTAATAAATTTTTTTAAAGTATTGAAATTAAAATTACGAATTAATGAAGTTACCGATTAATATAAAAATTAAAATGACCAATTAATTAAAATTAAAATATTAAATTATATTTATTTATCTCTTACAAGATAAATAAATTTTCTTAATTGTAAATACAAAATTGTTTATTTTCCAAAGAATATATTTATTTATAATAATACAACGTATATATATAATGATTGAATCTTAAACTGGAAATTATATCAATAATAGTCGACTGCTCTCTTCATCCTATCAAATAGTGAACATACGCGTGAAGATAATGAGAGACAAACGATCCAGCTCTTGTTATACGTAAATCCCTCCCTCTCAAAGCAAACATGCAGTGTGTAATACATTCATTTAGGATGAGCAATATTGTATTGCTTTGTACATAGGATATTGGTATAGATAGAACGCGTACAGATCGATCCATTGATCGTTCAATAGCTTATGCGAAGAGTAATAACTATAATTGAATTCCAAAGGTGTAAGTTTACTGAAGATGCAAATAACTGTAATATAGGACACGTGAATATGTATACATGTGAGATTGAATAAAATAAAAATGGACATTCGATATTCTTTTGACTAATATATCAAAAGAATAATTAATATACAGATATACAAACCAGTCAAATGGTTCATTATTCTTCTACCATTTGAAATACAAAATAAAATTTTTTAATACTAACTTGACAATTTTTTCTATGATTTCTCTTTTATTTCCTATTCAATCTTAAATTGGGTTAAAAAGTTTTATTTATAAATATTTCAATAATTTATAAAACAATTATACCTATCTATATTAATTAATCTAATTTAGATACGAAGGGTTAAAATTTTATGCGTCAATTCTTTTCTAATGATATAATTTATTTTATAAAAAAAAGAAAATTGCTCACTTCATGTTTTGTGGCGAAGTCACTTTATTGTACAATGAAAAATTCACTCTTTTAGATTGAGGTTTCTCTATGTTGAAGTAGATTTCTCACTTTAAATATATAAAGCGACTTGAATCCCACTTAAAGAAGAATGAAACTCTCTCGAAGGAATTTAAAAAGCTCACCTCACTGCACGTTGAGAGGTTTATACTGTTTAAAAAAAATATTTTTTTATAATGGTAAAGGTCACAACTAAAACAATTTTTTTTATTTAAATAAATGTATTCTATTTGTAAGAAAATAGTTTAGAAAATATCTTGTCCACTCTTTGTAAATTTTACAAATGAATTGATGATAATTACTATACAAAATATTTATATAATTTAATTGACTCTTTTTAGTAAAGTTGAGTGAAAGTTAATTAAAACAATTATAATAGCTTCTCATATGATATATGAGAATGAAAAAAAAAGTAAACTGAACTCCATACAATTCATTCCAATGTATATATATGAATTTCATTTATATCGTATATATGTGAACAGAATCTGAAATATCTTTATATATATCCTTAATATAGATATTGATTGAGAAAACATCTTTTTTTACTCTCATAATATAAAGAAGATAATTTTTTTTCAATTCTTTTCATTCATATATATGTATATATATCTCTTAAGAATCATAAGACGCTTCTCATTCTATTGTTAGCATCAAGAAAAAGCTATTTCCACCATTTTTCGGCTCTTTTCTTCCAAAGATTTGATCCAATTTTTTCTGTGTAAGTTTGAAAAAGTGCGAAATGCTGTTTCTCCCCTTTTTTTCATCATAAAGTGGATTTAATCTCAGCAAAATCCCCTCTTGACTGATTCGTGATCTGATTTATAGGTACTTAGGAACATCAACTTTTCTGTTTGACAGGCTACCAATATTGAAAAGATTCTCGGAATCTCCTGCAAAGAAGAAGAATAAGCGCGAAATCAATCGATCGTGTGTCTTCATAACCCAAAGAGAGAGAGAGAGAAGAGAGGAGAAACGGGAATATTCAAAAATCGTGCGTTGAATGAGTTGATTCAAGAAGACGTCGCACTGGAGAAGGGATACTCTGCTGGAAATGAAGAGATAGAAATATTTTTTTAAAATATTTTTTTACCTCTGTGACAGAAAGAGATAAAGGTATTGTATCTTAATCTTTTTATAAAACTTCAATCTCAATTTGTCTCTTCATTTACTTTTGTTTTTAAAACCTTTTTACTGTGTCCCATTTAATCCCTCTTCTATCCACTTTATTCTCTTTCTATCTCTTTTTTAATCTAAAATATATACTTACAATTAGATCTTTAGATCGGTTTTGACTTTTTTTAATTTATGTCTTATCTCCCTTCAAATTTCACTTTTCTTCACTGATAACCTTTCTTCATTCCAATCTCTTTCTAACACTTATTCATTCCTGTAATTAAACCCCTTTACTCCATCCTATTTAATCCCTATAAAATTCACGGAATTAATATTATACTTGAAGTTACTGAAAAAATAATAGACACACAAGAGCAATATTATTACATTACAATATTTCCTTAATGTCAACATTTTAAGGCATTGTCCGACATCTTGAAACGCAATCACTTGTTTGCTTCTTATTCATGCGCTGGCATAAATCTCACATGGGACATCCAAATTTCTGTCCCGTGGGATATCACGGGATGAAAATGAGATATCCCATGCGCTCTGAAGAAAGGGACCTTATAAGCAAAAAATTATAGGTTATGCTTTTTAAGTTTACATAAATAAAAAGAAACTTAATCAAGATAAAACTATCGTAAACAAAACCTATAATTCTTTTGCTTCTAAGGTCCCTTTCTTCAGAGCGCGTCACATTTATTATTTGATATAGTTGTACAAAAAGAAATAGAAGTTTAGAGATGAAAAGAGATAACATTTTTTTAACAATTTTTCTATTTGTAAAAAATAGAAAAAATTCTATCTTCCACTATCCTAATAATTTCATTTCTTTATTATTTTTAATATTTTCACTTCCAACAGGGGAACTTCAAACCTGGAGGAAGCCGCAGGCGGTACAAGAAGAACTCGCATACACCACATTATTATCATCATCATCATCATATCTATTGTCGAAGAGCGCGTATATGGAGTAGTGGAAGAAAATGGCGCATGCTCTTCGTCCTGAACGCACATAAGCGCGCCTGTGGAAAAGCACACGATTTCCAGGTTGACTCGGTAAAATCCATAACGCTGAAGGAGTCGTCCTGCGATCCACACAAACCGCGTGGTGCCAGTTTCAACTCAGCAGGTGGCCAGCTCACATCACAAAACAACAATGATGATAAAACACTCCGCCGCGCCGGAGGTGGACCCACGTGCCTCAAGCAAACAAACGAAATTTTTTCTTTTTCCCTCACCCAATTTCACAAATAATGGATTATTAATTTAGAAAAAAAAACGAGACAACAAAAAAAATTTAATTAACTTCCAATTGAAATTAATTGGAGAAAATGAAGATAAATTCAGACCGAGGACTTGAATTGAGAGAAGAGGGAATTTAATAATTTGTTATACTATTTTCAAGAGAGTCGTTTATAGTGAGCAACACGTGGTTACGGGAGTATACAGAAAATTCGAAAACGATTTTAAAGATCCTTGTTTCGTTCTCCCGTCAGTGGTGAATTCATTTTCCTTAACAAATAAATTGAGCCGAAGGAGCGTCTTGAATAACAAATAGTGTGTGGAAATTTATCTCTTTTTGGTGAAGAAAAAGAACCTCTTGAGGAAATAAAAAAAAACTTTTTCAAATGGATAGTGTTTCGCTAAATAAAACGAACCCTTTGGAGGGGAATTATGTATTGGATGTTTTAAATTATATAAATGAATTAAATGATTCACGATTGAGTCAGGAATTTGAGTGCAGAACGAGGGAACTTACGGGAAATAAACCGGATAAAGGATGTGATATTAATTGGGATTCTCTTCTATGTTGGCCGTACACACCACCTGGAACCATTTCCAAATTACCCTGTTTTGCAGAATTACATGGCATCAAATACGACATAACTCGTGAGTAAATTTTTTTCCTACATACGCACTACAGTTACATTATTCTAAAACTTTAGGAAATTTTTTTTGAGTTTGACTTCTTCTTCTTCTTCCTTGAGGAGTCAACTTTTCTCATCTAAAAGAGACTTCGAAAATTCACGAGGGAGATTGATCGGTTTTTTTTTGCTATTGCTAACTCTATGAACACAGAAAGAATCACTCTTTATTGGAATGTTTTTGCAGATTTGAAAAAGAGTGCTGTCACAAAGTCCGGGGGGAATAAAGAAGTGGATAGTTTTGCACGAGAGGGAAGTTTTTGTTTTTATTTTTTTTAGTGCCAATCGAATTTCTCGGGAAACTCAATTATTATTATTTATATAGGGTTTTTTTTTAGGAAACATTTTCATTCTAATTTTTTTGGTTTGGAAACATTTTTTTCGAATTTTATGTATTTTTATATCCCTGTTGAATTCGGAAAGACGGTTCGAATTTAGTTAAGTTTGGTTAAAAGCAACAATTTGGTACAAATAAATTTTTTTTTTAATTTTGTTGCTAATTTATGAAATATTAAAAATTGATATAATTATTTGGTTAAATTGAGCAAGAATTAAGTTATAGTTCAACTCCAAAGTGTTCAATTTTTATCGTTGGAATTTTCATTTAGATTCTAATTATAATTAGAATACTGTACATAATAATAATAATTATTGAAATATAAATGTCCTAAAAAATATCTATGCGGTTACAGCATTTGATAAACTATTATCAAAAATCAGGAAAAGAAGCAGGCGCAAAGCGCCTACATCTAGGGTTTCATGGCTTTTTAAATTCAGATCAAAAGTTATTTGTATATAATAAATAATTTATAATTACATTATTTGTAAATTGCTATGGTATCTGTTACCATGGTAACCATATGAGTTTACGACGGACGGACGGACGAAACTATAAGGCTTTCGGCCCTGGGACACGAAAAAAAAAACTATAAAGAGTGAATTTTTTATTTTCAACTTATCAGGAAATTAAAGAAAACCATCTGACTTATCGAATCCACAGTAGAAAATAAAAAAAAACAATATATTTATCATATTATCAAGTAAATAAAAAAGAAAGACATTGTTAAATCGGATGTCGTATCACGTGATATTTCTAGTGTTTTAGTAGTCAGCAGCTGTTAAAAACCCATAAAAACTGAAATATATAGGTAGAACAAAATTTACTGCAAAGTATTTTTTAAATTTCTTTTTGTATAAATTATGTAGTAATTGATTTTGTCTATGGAGTAGTATAAGGAGACCGAACGACCATGTTAAATCTGCGTTAAAAGTGGACCAAATTTTGGTAACCGCTTAGTGTCATGAAAATACGTAATGGAACACTAGCGCCATTGATTGTGTTAAACTCAGCTGGACAGTCAGCCATTGTAAAAGTTTGAAAAATAAGGAGCAATGTATTTTTGGGTTATGTTCAACGTACTTCTAATTTTTCCCACTGTTTACATACTTCCCACGAGAGCGTTTGTGTTCCGTTACGTATTTTCATGACACTAAGCGGTTACCAAAATTTGGTCCACTTTCAATGTACGTCGTTCGGTCTCCTACATGATTTTGTCGAAATTTCGGATGTCATATAACCTAATTGCCACTAGCAGACATTTTATGAAGTAGGTGCGAAGCAAAAAAAACACTTTATATATTTACTAAATAATTTATAATTTATACAATTTACACAATTTGAAAGGCGATAAAAATAAAGCAAATAATTTAAGTAATAAATAATAATACATATTTTAGAAGGTGATAAATATTTCAATACCCCTTGATGTTACGTGTTTGAATCACTAACTGATGTTAGTTTCCGTTTTATTTTGACAGCTGCGAAAGGGTTAAAAGTACTTCATCAGTAAAAGTTTTCTCCCTGGGTTTACAGTAATTTAGTAGAGTAATCACTTTACGTATATAATCATATTTGATGTCAATAAATAGAAATTAAGAAAATCGAATTTCTAGTCATATAAAAAAAAATTTCTTCCTCGAAAATTTTTATAGAATATAGAAAAAATATAGAGGAAACCCTATTTTTTTATTTCCTCATTAAATGTAAATTAGGGAAGTTATGAATTTTTTAAACTTGTTCTGAAACAGAAATTTTGATATGAATTTTTCTGTCATTATTAGCATACCTACAGTGAATAATGTACTGTATGTAATTTCTTCAGTATTTTTTCAATTTTTTAAAAATTAATTTTATAAAATTAATTTTAAAAATAAAATATAATAATAAAAAAAAAATAATAAAAAAATAAGAGAAAAAAATAAATTTTTTTAAAATAACTTAGCGAACTATTGTAATTTTTTCATGAATTCAGCTCATTTTGCTTTTTTGTAATATTCTCTATACAAATTTGTTTGTCAGTTTTTGTTAAAGTAATATCTGATTTAAAAAATATTTTATAAAATATTTTTTTAAAAAATTTATTTGTTCAATATATAATTAAAAAAAATAACAATATATAATAAAAATACTGAACAAACAGAATTGTAGAGAGTCTTTCAAAGAGCAAAATGGGCAATTATTTATAAAAATTGAATAAAAATTATAATTGCGTTCAGTAACTTTAAACAAAAAAAAAACGAAAAATTAAATTTTTATTATTATTATTAATTACTATTATTATTATTTTTTTTTTTTGCTTAAAGACTTTTGGGAAATCTGTATACAGATACCTTGGATTCTGCATGCCAAGGTTAAATAATATTACATAGCAATTTTTGTTCAAAATAATGTTTTTTTTTAAATTGCACAATTGGATCTTTCAAAATTCAATAAAATTAATTTTAATTTTATTTGTTGATAATACAAATTTTTAGTTTGAGGTTATGTTTAATTTTTGTTAAAAATGTTCGTTTTTGTATTTTTATAAAGCCAGACGCGTATCCACGGTGGGCGAAGGGGGCAATCGCCCCCCCCCCAAAGATTCTTAAAAGTTACAAGTATAATACAGAAACTAAGAAAACATTTATACTTTCTGTCCAAATTTTTTTTTATCTTTTTGACAACTATTTTTTTAAAAAAAGACAAAGTTTTCGAATCGCCCCCCCCCAAAATTTAAGTCATCGATCCGCCACTGTATAAAGCTTATTTGTGAATTATAAATAATTAATGAAAAACTTCTGTAAAATTTATTAATACATTTTTTATTTTTATTAAAACCGTTTGACTTTTGATTAAAAATATTCTGAAATTTTATTAGGTACTTTCATTAAAAAAAAAACCTATGAAAAATATTTTTGATTTTGATTCTACTAGAACAGAATGAGTTTAAGGCTGCTTTCACAATATAGGTAAATCGCATCCTCTTCAAGACGATTTTTTAAGACGAGGCGATGCGCGCGCATCTATTGCCAACTGTCGATAAAAAATTTATTTCATGTGAGGTAAAAATAAAAAAAAATATTTTACCTGCTAGGATATAAATTTTTATTACTTTTAACGAAACAAATTTTTTTTTATAATTTCTATAATATTGAAAAGCTAAAATTGTAGGAATTGTGAAATAAAGTTGGCAATGAATGCGCTCACATCGTTTCATTCTGAAAACTCATTTTCAAGACTATTTAGTTATTGTGGAAGGAGCCTAAAGAATTGAAAAAATCTTTCGTCGGTTAAAATTTTTTTTTTTAAATTAACTTTTGAATTTGCAATCTATTAGATAAATTGAGAGAATTGATTAAATTGTACAGAATTTTTTTTTTTAATTCGAATCTTTTTTTATTATAATAGAGTTAATATATTGACACTAATAGTTTCATAATATAACTCTTCGTATAATGATTTGTTGTCTATACTGTCAGACCATTTGTGAGAAGCACATAAATATAGTTATGACCTAAATATATGAAACGCGTATTATTTTATGTTTTCCACTTATAAGTACCATCATAAAAAATAAAATAAAAACCCCGTAATGTTTTATTTGATATGCGTAGCAGTCATTTATCATTTTTTTTGCTGAACGTTCTGTTTATTAATATTTTGTGTGTACATTGTAATGTTTTTTTATATATTTAGATTTATATATATATTTACTTTCTTAATATTTACACATGTGAAAAATATAGAAAAAATATTATTTTTTCTTTCAAGCAATAATTTCTAATTTTAATTTAAAATTTGTTTATTTAAATCAAATTTTCTTTATTTAAAAAAACTTGTTGGAATAAATTCTTATTTTTTTCATTTTCTGTTCTTTTCTGTAACTGTGAGAAAAATTTTAAGAACCCTTTTCAAATAATAAAAATTAAATTCTTGCATTATAAAATCTACTTTATAAAATACCTACTGCTAAATAAAAATTCGATAATTTTTAATTTGACACAAAAAAAATATTCCGACATGTCAAATGTGGTGAATACTCCACTCAACACAAAAACACATATATCAGAAACTTATTTATACAAATTCTTTATTTTTAGTGGAGAAAAAAAATTTCCGTTGGCAGAATTCCATAATATTTGTGAAATTGTAACCGACGATAATAAATTAAAAAGGAACTATATTCAGTAAAAGTTCTACAGAGAATATTTCACCGCAAAGAAAAGAGTTTCTGGAAATATTATAGAAAGTTAAAAATTTATATTTTTTCTTTTTTTCTAAGTGGAAAAAAAAATTTGAAATATAGAAAAACTAAAAAATTTTTCACACTTATTTTCTGGAAAGGTGATGAAATTTTCTTTAAAAAATTGCACAAGAACTTTGTTATAACTTTGCTGTTAGTTATTAAGAAAATCAAATTTTAAATATTGTTCTTGATTTGAAAATTTAAATAATGGAAATGATAATTGATACTCTTTAAAATTTTTCAGCTTATTTGCAATCGTAGTTGTATAAATCGAATTAAAATTATTTCCTAGTAGTGTCGAGTACGTGTTCTCCTTTAAAAAGTTATTGGAAGTAAAAGTTGAATTTAGAAAATTTGAAAAATCACCAAAAGCTTTCTACAACTTCTCGAAAAATCTGAT